TTTTTACAGCTGTACAAGCACGCGCTCCAAGCAGGAATGTGTATTGTGATATTGGAACTACACCGAGGAGTGTCCCTAGGATAATTCGACTCCTGTGTAAAGAGAAAAATGCAAGTTGTTAGCCGATGACTCCTCCTATAATCTGGATGGAAATGATAGAACTGCACAAGGTAAGCTAGAAATCATGTTGCATTAATTAAATCACTGTTTTTTTATGTCTTGATAAGAAGTAACATCTTTTTTGTTCTTCCTTATTGCTACTTTGCTCCTTCAATGAAGCTAATGTTTAGTTTTGTTTTTTAGTTTCTTGAGGCGTCCCACATCCAGGGAATCTCTGAGCAGTGCTTCAAGGCAAGCTCCTCATCCCCACCATCAGCTGGCAGTGGAAGCTGGAGCAGGATGAGCGTATCGACAAGACCATTGCTCGTGGGTTTTTGACACTTGGAGACATGAGAGCTGATTCAGCTGGTATTCAGATATATTTACTATAAAGTATTCCCAACTAGCCCCCACCATACGCTGCTCCTCCAGTCTCCTGGTGCAGTACCATTGCTTCCTGCACTCTCCTCACCCCCACCCACTCCAACCCAGCCTCACTTCCACCTCACAGCTGATCAGGTGAGAAGTCGGCTCAGGAAAACAAAGATCAGGAAGGCAGCAGGACCGGCTGGAATCAGCCCCAGACTGCTCAGGGACAGTGCAGACCAGCTCTGTCTCAGGAGGAAGTCACCCCCTGCGGCAGTGGTTCCCAACCCTGGTCTTCAAGGACCCCTATCCTTCATGCTTTACTTGTTTCCCTGCTCTTCAGCAGGTCTTCAGAAGATTGTTAATCACTCAGTCATTCAAAGCAGGTGTGTCAAATCAGGGAAACATCTAAAAATCACTGCTTTAAATGTTGACAAACACCTCAAGAGCTTCTCTGAGCTTGATGACACATTTTCAAATTATAATATTGACTCAGTTTTATGTTTTTTATTATTGCCTCTGGAAGCCATTGATTCTTTGCCATTTATTTGTAATAATAAATCAGATACGTATCAAAGCAGTGATTCTCAACCCTGGTCCTCAAGGACTCCTGTCCTACATGTTTTAGATGTTTCCCTGATTTGATTAAGGTCTGACAAATGGTACATATTGAAGATTTGTATCAAATATGCCTGCTGTGTTAAAATGTTAGTAATTCATACATTCAAGGTGAGGAGTTCAAAAAACATTTTAAGTGGTCAATAATTGTTTTCTTCTGTTTTACAGACTGGCCTGTGTTGTTCCCTCTACCTATAACACATATTGCAACATGTATACTGAGTTATTGGTGTGCATATAAAAACTCCTAAACTGGCCTTATATGTAGATATCTTTGACTACATAAACACAGGAAGTAATGAAATCTGTTTGTTTTCTTTGTTTGAACCAAAGAAAAGAGGAATCTAAAAGTATGTTTTTATGTACAATCACAAACAGACGCTAATACTGCAGAAGATCTCGATGACCTTTTAAGAACAAGATGTAATAATTTGAAGGAAATATCTAAATCATCAAATCTGTTCTTTGGGACAGATAAAATAATACTAAAATCTGTACCGGCCTTTCATCTTTTTTTAAACAAAGATCTCAGGTGAAAAGTTAGTGTTCAGAGTATGTGTTGAGTATGACTATCAGCTACTACCACACCAGGTTTTAGGCAAGTTTTTGCAAAACTGACTGAGTTATGGCAAATTTGTTGTTTTTGTTTTTTTTTTTAAGGTGATTATCTTGGTTTGAGTCATTTACATGATCGCCCACCTATAGATGCTGCAGGAGAGTATAAAATAAAACAGCCTTAAAACATCAAAATAATAACCTAAAATTGTTTTATTTTCTCTTCAGGAGCCAAACATGTTGACTGGGAACATTTAACAATAAACTCTTACATTTTACAAGTTTTCTGTGAGGACAATGAACATGTTTTACCAAACAGAATAGAAAAACCCATGTTCTGATGCCGTTTTGTTGGTCTGATTATAAAAGGCCAGATGAAAGCAGGGCGTCTGAAGTGTAAACAACTAAATAACAGAGTTTTCTTGTGGGTAAAAGCACAGGAACACACTGACAGGCAGCAGGTGACCTTGTTTAAACAGCCTGACTGAGATTATCAAGCTGCACCAAGAGGAGCACAGAGCTTATAGGGTAGCAATACATAATACAGCACAGTACACAAAGTAAATACTAGGTACAGACCTGGTAATTACCGAATACATACAGTAAATACTAGGTACAGACCTGGTAATTACCCAATACGTACACAGTAAATACTAGGTACAGACCTGGTAATTACCCAATATATACACAGTAAATACTAGGTACAGATCTGATAAGTACCCAATAAGTACAACGTAAATGCTAGGTACAAACCTGGTAAGTACTCAATAAGTACAAGGTAAATACTAGGTACAAACCTGGTAAGTACCCAATAAGTACAAGGTAAATACTAGGTACGAACCTGGTTAGTACCCAATAAGTACTAGGTAAATATTAGGTACAAACCTGGTGAGTACCCAATAAGTACAAGGTAAATATTAGGTACAAATCTGGTAAGTACCCAATAAGTACAAGGTAAATGCTAGATACAAACCTGGTAATTACCCAATACGTGCACAGCAAATACTAGGTACAGATCTGATAAGTACCCAATAAGTACAATGTAAATGCTAGGTACAAACCTGGTAAGTATCCAATAAGTACATGGTAAATGCTAGGTACAAACCTGGTAAGTATCCAATAAGTACATGGTAAATGNGTAAGTATCCAATAAGTACATGGTAAATGCTAGGTACAAACCTGGTAAGTATCCAATAAGTACATGGTAAATGCTAGGTACAAACCTGGTAAGTACTCGATAAGTACAAGGTAAATACTAGGTACAAACCTGGTAAGTACCCAATAAGTACTAGGTAAATATTAGGTACAAACCTGGTGAGTACCCAATAAAGTACAAGGTAAATGCTAGGTACAAACCTGGTAATTACCCAATACGTACACAGTAAATCCTAGGTACAGACCTGGTAATTACCCCAATACATACACAGTAAATACTAGGTACAGATCTGATAAGTACCCAATAAGTACAATGTAAATGCTAGGTACAAACCTGGTGAGTATCCAATAAGTACATGGTAAATGCTAGGTACAGATCTGATAAGTACCCAATAAGTACAAGGTAAATGCTAGGTACAGATCTGGTAAATACCAGATAAGCACTTAGTACTTACCTGGCTGTATCATGCATTGCTCAAAAAGTTTCTTTACAAATGATCAACACATAAATTCATGAGTTGTTTTGAAGGAGGTTAAAATCAGAACAATCCTTTCAAATGTATCTTCATGTTGCAGAAAAAGAGAAGCTCAGCAGATTCACTGCAGACATTCACTTCTTAAATAATCTTTTTAATGAACAGTAAAACGACAGGTAAATGCACGGCTCGGTTCTGCTAAATGAAATGTAAAAATGACACGGATCCACACACACAGACACACACATGAGCTGCTAAACAGGCTGAAGCTGAGTCCATAACAACATTGATCTTGAACAAAAAAACAGCTTTTCTTCTATATACTGGATGAGACGTGAACTGATGTAACGTCCATCTTCATGTTAAAACATAAGCAGATAAATGAAGCTTTAGAAATGATCCACTCCTGCCAACGTTACAATTTGATCTCAAAATGATCCAAACCTTGTTAAAGATTTTGTGTAAAAAAAAAAAAAAAAAAGAGAAATAAATCTGTGTGGTTATAAATATTTACAGAAACTTTAAAATGCCTCTTTCTGTAGAAAACACTCGACTGAAGACAGAAAACTAAAGTTTACGCATTTTACAAACAGTTTTTTTATTTTAGCAAATGTTTAAAAACTACCTGGAAAAATAATGATATTGTAAAGGCGAGCTAAAAAGTATTGATTAGGTAGTGAAACTATTATAGAAAATGCTGCAGAATAATTTAAAAAAAAACTTCAGAAATAGCTGCCAGAGTTCAGATGAAAGTTCCAGAAACATCTTCTAATTCTTCTATTAGGATTTAAAACTAAAGTTTTTTTAAACTGGGTTAAGGGTGGTTTTATTTAAAATGTTTTATGTGTTCTAATGCTGATTGAAAAAGCAACAGAGACAACCTAACAAAAACAAAAAAAAAAAAAAAAAAACAGCTTTAACAGGAAGTACTGCTCCAAACTCAAGAAACATCCGAGCTGTTTGCATCATTCATTAATCTGTTCACATGTGACAGAGAAAACTTACATTCATTTTAAGCTTCAGCCAACAGACACCTGGAAAAAAATTAACTTTAGGTTCAATTTATTCTTAGAACACACAGATACAAATAAAACTTTTATAAATAAATCTTTTTTAATAAAGTTAGAATAGTAGTTTTCCTGTGGTCTGAAACTTGAGTATCATCAGGCTCAACACCACCCCTCTCTCACACAACTGGTTCATTAAGTCAAATTAAAGATTGCAAATTTTTATAATTTTTAAATATTCTGTTGTTCCATATCAAATAAAAGCAAAATGTAAGAAAGTTGTAATATTTGACTTATTGAGCAGAGCCAGATAAATAACAATAGATGTAATATAAAGAGTGCAAAGTGTTAAAAACACGACTCGAGTATGATGAAGCTGGAAGAGTTTTACAGTAAGAACCCTTCAGAACGTCTGCCCGTAAAACAATTTAAAAAAAAACAAAGTTGGCCCGATCCAAAGCTGCTATCTCAGATCAGAAGCCCACCGCTTCTTGAAGGAATGCATATCTCCCGCCGCCTTTCACGTCAGAGTTTCAGTTCATCTTATCTACAGATCTTTGTTTAAAACAACTAATTGGAGTTGATTGTCTGTTAGCAAAATATTTCATGAACCAGCTGATAACGAAACTTTGAGGAAATAATCTGATGTTTGTCCACAGCTGAATAACTTCAGGAGTCACGCCAATTCTAAACGACAATTTGGTATTTTTAAGACTCGAGACGAGATGATCTGAGTTTACTCTGCAGTGGGTGATATGCACGATATGATCAGCCTTTAACTAATCATACCAAACTGTTTTGTTGCAGCTTTTACAATTAAACCCAAGTTCAGAAATGTTAAAGGGATCCCCGATTAGTTGTAACATTAGACCTTATTTAATAAACATGTATTTTAACTGTAAAATAAAGACTGTAAAAATACTGTAGGATGTTTAGTTTTTATAATTTTTAAACTAAAATTTTCAAAATATATTACACGGACGGGGCCAATTTATTTACACGCAAAGCATTCTGGGTAAATGATGACGTGGATAGGTCCTCAGTGTGAGGCTGCTAGTGAGCTATATCCACCCTGAAGGTTAATCTTGAACAAAATCTGATGATCGACTCTTTTAAATGAAACCAGAGAGCGTTGACAGAGAGAAGGTAGAAATGACTCAGTCTGTAACTGAAAATATGGATGGAGGACAACAGAGCTGCTTCATGGAAGAAGAACATCAGCTTAGCCTGTTAGATTTGGCGTTAGCCCCAACGCTATCACCATATACAGTATATACAGTACAATATATATATATACACACACACACACACAGTATACGTATATAAGCTCAGCGCTACATATTCTCCTCTCGTCACTGAGGTCCTCCATCCATATGACAGAGAGGGGAACACAAAAATGACTCAGCCTGCAACTGAAAATATGGATGGAGGACCTCAGTTTAGCTTGTTTGTTTGTTGCGCTATACATATAAGGCAATAAAGCGTTGGTGCTAGCGCAAAGGCTAACAGGCTAAGCTGAGGTTCTTCTTCATGAAGCACTCTGTTGTCCTCCATCCATATTTTCAGTTACAGGCTGAGTCATTTCTACCTTCTCCTCTCTGTCAACKCTCTCTGGTTTCATTTAAAAGAGTCGATCATCAGATATTGTCCAAGATTAACCTTCAGGGTGGATATAGCTCGCTAGCAGCCTCGCACCAATGACCTATCCACGTCATCATTTACCCAGAATGCTTTGTGTGTAAATAAAATGGCTCCATCCGTGTTAAAATATATATTTAAAAATTTTCAAAACTGAACATCCTACAGTATTTTTACAGTCTTTATATTACAGTTAAAATAAACGTTTATCAAATAAAGGCTAATGTTACAACTAATCAGGGATCCCTTTAAACGCGACGTGCTTCAGTCTCTGTGGGTCAGAGAGGACAGAGCAGCTCTCCGATGGACAAGAACAGAAATATACTAGAAGCAGGAAAGGATGTTGCTTCTCACTGAATTATCATTTAAATACAAATAATACTTTAAATACTGTATGTAACCTTTACTAACACCATCGCCAAAAACAAACAATAACAAAACAATAGAAATGTTTAAGTTAAAGGCTTCTGGAGCAGAAAATACCAGTATCAGCAGATATTTAAACTCTAATCGGAATCAAACGAAATAAAAAAAGGATTGGTGCAGCTCTCAGATCAAACTAAAACAATTCTGATCAAGTGGATTAAAGGTTATCTGAATTGTTTGGGTTGAGCACCATTTGTTTCAATTAAAGAAAATCAAAAACAAAACTTGACAGGTAAAACCAGGGTAATTTTTTAAACTACCAGGATAAACCATAGTCAGTTTTTATCTAGCAGATAAAGCCAGGTCATTTTTTTGGAAGTACCAGATACAAAAATGTTATTTTTTTAATCTGACAGGTAAAACAGATTATTTTTTCATCTACCATGTAAAAACAGAGTTGTGGGTTCCTGTAGACTTGACAGAGACAGATGAATGTGTGAAGGAGGGGTCCTTCAGGGAGCTACACTCTAAGGCTGGGGGGGGCTGCTCGGTTAAGGTGCTGTCCATCAGTGGTGCTGCTGGGAGGGGTGTTGTCTTTACTCCATGATGGCTCTGTAAATCACAGGCTCGATGTAGTCCCCCCTGTAACGTGAGTTAATAACTCTCTGTCTCTTAGACTCCTGGATGATCTCGTTCTCTTCAAAGATCCCATCAAACCTCATGTCTGATGCTTTGGACTGCAGACACAACAGGAGGGTTTCATTACAAACACAACAGCGAGGACAGAACAAGAAGGCAGAGCTGCACGCACCAGTCTGGACTTGACCCTCTTGGGAAGTTCTTCATCCAGAGTGTAGACGTCGTCTCTCTTGGCCGTTAGCTGCGACCCATCTTCAAATTCCACCTGCGTTTTACACGAAAAACAACCAACTAGACCCACCAATTTTTCTAATTATTATTTATACTGTGTTCCACTATCAAATCAATTCATTTGTGTTAAATTATCAAAAACTGTATTAAGTCATTTCTTAAATCACTTTTTTATAACCACTGCTAGATCACCAAAACGTCTGGTAAAGTCTGAATGAAAGATTGCACATTGCAAAATTTGTCTGGCCCAGTTCTGGATCTTATGTTACACCTGAGCTGCTGTCACCAACATTCAACTAAAGACCCTTTTCCACCGGCAAGGATTCGTGTGGAACCAGACCCTTTAGTCAGAGCCTACTTCTCTGTGGTTCTAAGTGTACCACACTGGCCTGAAAACATGACATCAGAAGACTGTTGGTCATTGATTGGTGAGTGGGTGGAACCACTCGTTTTGTCATGAGAGCTAACCAGATCCGCCATTTGCAATAACAACACCACCATGTCCTCCATTGTTGCGTTGCAGATCTTTTTGGGGTCTTCTTCTATGTTTAATTGTGGCAAATAGCTTAATGGAGCATAACAGCTGGTGAGGCGTGTGGCATCAACTTTCAGACTCTGGGACCTCCCAACTTTACGATGAACCCACCCACTAGAGCTGTTGCTGAAGTGTAATGGATGAAGCGTGCTGTAGAGGAGCAGGTAGAAAAGGGCCATAACTGAACTCTATAGTTTTTGTAGGGGTGCACCGAAAAATCTGACTTATTGGCACCTATTTCTTTAATTTTGAGAGATCTGCCGATATTTAGATAAGATCTGTGGAAAACATCAGCTTCGCATCTACCTCCACAAATGTCTGAAAATCAGCCACTGTCCTCTTCTGCTCTGCTGTGAGCACTACCTCTTGTGCAGTTAGTAAGTTTGTATTGTTTCAAGAGTATTGTTCAATATTTCAATCTTATTTTATTGAAAAACATTTAAGTTGTGACCTTATAACACCTGACAGTGTCGGTTATTAAAAAAAATCAGTATCGGCAGGTCAGACCTTTTAAAGAACGGCCAGAAAACTGCAATTGGTGCACCCCTACTTTTTAGACGTCAACAAAAAAAGCTAGATTTTTCTTGAATCTGTTCATTTAAAGAGCCATGCATATTCTTCAAATACAAAAAGTCAAAGAAAACATCTTTATATTTAAGAAAGTTGGAATAATACACACGATTTAACCCATTTTGCCCAATAACTGACATATTTTCTTTTGAATGTGGCTCAGCCAAAGTGAAACAGGAAGTGACATCAAAGGGGAATTTTTTAATAAATAAAAATCTCTGGTCTTTGTTTACTGAAACAATATTATTTGAACTCTTGATTCTTCTTCATTTTTCTCTGATAGTGACTCAAAATAATCTAAAGAAACATCAGATTCTTCTCTGCAGGCTGGGTTGTTAGCCATTTTAGCAAAGCTCTGTTCACATGCAGACATTCCCCTTTGACATCACTTCCTGTTACTTCACAGGCAAATATCTCAACAACTGGTCATCTCAGCAATATGAAATTTCTTTTGCAATATTTTATCAATGTCCTCTTTCTAAAAGTGCATTCATATGTATAACAAAAAATTGACATCACAGGCACTTTAAAGATTTCAATTAAAAACATATTATTAGCTGAACAAAAGTAAAAAGAGGCTTTAATCTAGCAAAGTCCAATAAAAAATAACTTACCTGATACATTTGAATAACATGAACTGCAACAAATTTGGCCCCGTAGACCAGCCCGTCTGTCCACCGCACCTGCACCTCCTCACCCTGAGGAGGGGGTCCGAGCTGAGCACAATCTCGACTCTGGTCAACAAATCAAACATTCTTCTATCAAACTTTCAGAAGGACACAACACACACACCCTGACATCATGACTCAGCAGAAAAACAAGACAAAACTCTTGTTTAAAATATACATACTGTTATAATAAATGTTAATATATAAAACTAGCACTTTAAGAATAAAACAGTTGTTCAGTGTAGTAAATATAGACTTCATTAAACTGTTCCAATGGATATAATATGTTGACTGGGTTCAGATTGACTTGCTGTTCTGTGTGGATCCAAACCACAGTCCAGATTTGAAGAACTTCTGACATAAGGGACAACATTTAAAGAGTCCCTCTAAGGTTTTCCTGCTTTTGCAGTAAATGAGAATAAAGAGTTCAACAAAACGCACCACAATGTCTTCTGGGAAGAGGTTATCACTGAAAGAGCCATCGTCAAAGTTGACTTCATAAAACGTCTCTTTGGACAACTGCACCACATCACACTGATAGTAACGGCCGTTTTTGTGCTTGCAGATGACTTTCTGTCCCACAGTGAGCTCGTGCATGGCTGCTTTACTGCGCTGTGAGACGAGAGAGAGAGAGAGAAAAAAGAATTCAAAGCATTCTGAGTTGAAATCAAAGACGATGAGGAGTGGGAAGCGTCTCACCTCGATCTGAGTGGGACCTTTGTGTCGACAGCAGGTGACGTGGACCACAAAGGGCCACTCGTCCGGCTGCATCAGAACCCCAGCAGCCTGGGCGCAGGTGGGGTGGTACGCAGTGGGACAGCGGCCGTGAGAGCACTGCACGCAGCAGCCTGACGCCTTCTTCATCCGCTTTTTACAGTAGTAACATTTCTGCCGCACAGAAACAAAGCATGAATCTGCTGAAGTACAAGGTAAATACTAAAAATATTAAATAAAATGTGTCACTCAACCAGAAACCTTTGACGTTTTTGTTACAGACCTATGTAGAAACCATGACGTCATTTTTTTCTTTCACTGATGACTTCTAGACATTTTGTTACAGTTTATAATCCCAGTGAACTCACCAGTTTAAATCTTTGCAGAGGGATTCCACTTAAATCCACAGGACTCCTTTCAGTGATGTTAACAAATCGAGCCTCCAGCACAGCCACGGCACACAGGACATGCACCCACCTGCAACAGACACGCTCACATCTCAGTGTTCTCCACAAACGACAGGCTGTGTGGATATATACTGGTTGTTATTGTAGGGTCTAGAATTTGGCGCCAGTTAGATTTGTGCAAAGCCATGTGCTCAGGGTTATTGGAACTTACTTGTCGTTGGTGGTTTTGTGCAAGGCTCCGCCCCTCAGCGAACACAGGCAGCAGTTCTACAATAAAAAAAAAAAGAAAAATTTATTAAATGGAAAAACAACAGGAAAGAAAGCATCACTTAGAGGCTGTAAGAGTAGAGATGAAAATGTCTGGAACCATAAACCACTGACTGGATCTGGATGCTCAAACATTTAAAAATAGCTTTAACTACTACTACTACTAACTACTACTACTACTAACTACTACTAACAACAATAATAATAATAGTAAAACAATATCAGTATATTACCTATTAACAAATTAAAATACTACTACTACACTGGGGCGGCTGTGGCGGAGTGGTTAGGGGAGTCGTCCTGGAACCAGAAGGTCTCTGGTTCAATCCTCTGTCCAGCCGTCTCAGTCGTTGTGTCCTTGGGCAAGACACTTCACCCACCTTGCCTACTGATGGTGGTCAGAGGGTCCGGTGGCGCCGATGCATGGCAGCCCCACCTCTGTCAGTGTGCCCCAGGGCAGCTGTGGCTACAGTGTAGTTTGCCATCATCAGTGTGTGAATGTGAGTGTGAATGGGTGAATGTCTGTTAGTGTAAAGCACTTTGGGGTCCGGAGGGACTTGAAAAAGCGCTCTATAAGTTCAGTACCATTTACCATTTACTACTACTACTAACTACTACTAACAACAATAATAATAATAGTAAAACAATATCAGTATATTACCTATTAACAAATTAAAATACTACTACTACTACTACTACTACTACCAACAACAATAATAATAATAGTAAAACAATATCAGTATATTACCTATAAACAAATTAAATGCATGCACGTGCGTAGTTATGGAAGTAAATTCTGCTCATCATTTTTTAAGGTTACATAGAGCTTAGCTTTCACAGCTGTGCTGGACAGGCAGCTAATACTAAAATCAGAAACCTGCAGCTCCACCTACAGATACAAGCTGGATTAGAAATGTCCTGATCTTTTTTTAAACTGGAAAAAATTATTTTTTAAAATCCGACTGACTGTGGCTGTAATGACTGACCTCAGTCATAGCGTTGGCTTTACAGCGTGAACACTTCCACTCCTTGTTCACAGTGGCTGGATCAACACCATAGCAACCTGTACACACACACACACAGCAGCAGCAGCAGCAGGCAGTGAGTGAACCTGTGAGACATTACTAAGGTTATGATAGAAACCTGCAGATTGTGCAGATTGTGTACTGACTGGTGTGAACCCAAACGCTACACTGTGAGCAGCTTATCAAGAGGCTGCTGCCGTCCTCCTCCAGATAAGGTGTGATGGGTTGCTCCTCACACTCTGCGTCTTCTTCTGTGGTGGTGGTGAAGCACATTTCTGGAATCAGAGGCTTGGTCTTCCTCTGCCCTCCGGCTGCTGTGATGGGACTGTTTGTGCTGTTCATATACTCAGTCTGACAGTAGACACAGAAAAACAAAGTACTTTTCTCAGAACTCATCAGCACTTCTACAAATGTCTTCATTGTCACAGAAAAAGAAAAGAACTCAAATGCTGCAGTAACTGTCCGCGGTTCTGTAACGCTGCCACAAAAACACCAAAATCAAATGTAAACAAACTGTAGAGAAAAGTAGAAAAAAAACTAAAATAAAAAATGCAAAACTAAAAACATTTGTTGAGTGATGACAAGGTGTAACATTAAACTACTGCTGAGTGGAAATGGTTTCAGTACAAATACATGGACTTAATGGATGATTTCAGGTCCAGTATCCTGTGAGAGAAGGCAGGATGTCCTCGGTACTCAAATATCAGAGGGATACAGTATTTCTAGTGATTCTTTGTTATCTAACCCTAATATCTATTTAAAGTGTCCAAAAAATATTAAACTCAAGGTCTGCGGCAAAATGAGTCCCTCAGGTGACTTCCGCCTGCTCCCCCCCACCCCACCAAATAATAATAATAATATTAATAATAATAATACATATTCTTTTACTTAATTTAGTAGAAAAATTGTCTTAATATAAATTTTAAACTTTAAAGGTATGATTCAATTCAACAAAATAAGCCAATTTAAAAAGTCTCCCATAATGCATGTCATTTATGAATGAATGGGAATTCCCATCAGAAAGTGGGAGAGTTCAGACTTGAGCAAGGCAGCTTTGCACCACAACTCAAAAGTGAGTAAAACTCTTACTTTTATTAGTATTTCTGCATTATTTATTTCATATTAAGTCAGAAGTACACATAGTACTTTTCAGTGTTTACAGGAGGACATGTTAAAACAGTGGTTCCCAAACTTTTCAGCTTTTGACCCACAAAACAACAGTAGCAGAGAACTGTGCCCCCAACTATTTTTGGAGGATAAACATTTGTATCAGGTCAACTAAACATGGGCATAGTAACAATATTTATTATTCTACATTTATACATTTTAGGCAACTAAGGCAAAAATGTAATTCAGAAAATCTTTTCAGGACTCCACCTTGATGTTTCAGAACCCCACTTTGGGTCCCGACCCCAACTTTGGGAAACACTGTGTTGAAACACTGTTTCTGTGCAGAAAATATCACGTAGTCAGTTATATTTTGTTAGCAGTGTTCAGTCAGAGCAATGAGACGAGGAACAAAAAGTTTCCTGTTTAGTTGAAGTTAAACATAAAACATTAACGATAATTACAACTGTCACTTTGAGGACAGCCATAACGCTCATGTGTATGGCGTGGTATGAGGGCCAAAATTAAGAATATTGCACAACCAGCAGTTGCTACATCCTTGTAGCTGGAGGCTATATCTATTCCTATGCCAGCTATTGATCTGATTAATGATAGGCCGGCACCGGTCACTGAAAGGCCGGCACAGGCAAATGAGAAGAAGACTTTTCATTTGTGTTAGCATCAGAGAGGCTAGCCACTAGCATGGATAAGCTGGCGTTAGCATTAGAGAGGCTAACAACTAGCATGCCCTCTGGACTCACTACATTGTTTGTATAACACAGCTTTTTTATCTTCTGGTCACGTTAACATGGTTGGGATCTTGGGTTCTGAATATTTGACCAACTCCAGATCAACCGTTTCCGTCCCACTGCAGCACAGAGAGGCAGCTTTGGTTAAGATTACCTGCTGGTGTGTGTGGAAGAGCATGCAGATGGAGCAGTACGGAGGTTTGGAGCCCATTCGATGATTGTACTCTCTTTCTTTCTTAAGATTGGGGGGTCTGCTCTGCCAAAGATGTGCCAGAGGCTTGGCCCAGTTTTCCCCTTCCAAACTCTCCTCCTCAGCCGGAGGAAGCTCCTCTGGAGCTTCTGTGTCACAAAAAAAAACACAAATTCACTGGATTCAGACAACTTCAGAGGTTTGAGATTTAGGACAGTGTTTTTGTTGATGGACTCATTTCTCACCTGTGCCATCCTTCAGAAGAGGAACGTGTTCTGGCAGCTGAACCACATCACTCACTGGCTCTTTATCAGCTGCTGGAACTTCAGTCACCTGCTGGAAAAAACAAAGACACATCAGCATGAGTGTGTGGATATCAGTCATGTTTGGTAAAATGAACATCTGAGAATCTGAACCTGCTGCAAAACATTTTGAATGAAGCTTTGGACACGTTAGCCATAACCAGCTGTCAAAGACAACAAAGAGGGAGGGACCAAGCCTTCCTGCAAGTGGAGGTGACTTAATGGAGATCCAACAAACTGGAGTTGTCATCTGGATGTTCGACTTGGGGTTAAAAGATTGTCTTCAGAACTCATTGACTATCATTTTTATCATTTTTCTGGAGTTGGTAACAGTATGATGGTACTTATTTTATTTTATCTCCTCAGAGCTTAATTAAATAGTTAGCCTTCTGTTTTCCTCCCACCAGGTTTAAACAAACTAATTCTGATTCATAATTTGGGACAATTTCTTTATAAAAAAACAATAGGAGATTAATTTCCACTCACTTCTTTGATGAAGTGTCTGAGCTCCTTCTCCTTCTCGGTGTCACTGTTAGAGCTCTTCTCCTCCTCCTTGGCCAAGGCTTCTTCTCCATAGTCTCCTTTAGCATAGCTGTGAACGTGGAGGACATCAGCAGGGCTCAGCGTCCTCTGGAACATCTTGTGCGTTGGGGTGTTGCTGATTTCCACCGGAGGCTCCACGCTGGCTCCGGCCTCCTCAGGAGTCTGAGCCGCCACCTTTTTCTCCACGGGCTCCAGAGGACTAACATCTGCTGCTGCGACACTGTTCTTCTCCTTTTTTGCAGAGCTCTGTCTTTTCAAATGTTTCCTGTTGGTGGCTTTGGAGGGACCTTTTGATTGTAGCTTTGTGTCTGGATCCTTCTCAGGTTCTGCTTTGGGTCTTACTGGGTCTGAAGGATAGAAATGTCACTATTACTACTGACAGTGCAGTTCTTATGTGTTTGTTAAACTGTGGACTGCAGATGGGGTTTAGAATATTTGTATTTTTGTCCTTTCTATTGTCAGCACATTGTTTCTAGTCTTAATACACAAGTTAGTTAAACTTGCCATAACTTTTAACTAACTTTGACCTATTTCTTGAGTACGTTTGTAGATTCTCTGTCATCCAGAACTACAAAAAACAACTGGCATTCCTCTTTGTTGTTTTTGAGCAAATAAGGACCTACTCAACTTTGTTAGACTTTTCAACCTGGATTACCGAGTTGCATCAGGACAACTGGACTTCTGTTCTGTAGTTGAAGACATTTCTCAGGATGTAAATGGCTTCCTTCACCCTCTCTCAAACAATCTTCTCTGTCCAAAATATGAACAAAGTCTCACAGCTACTACCACATCAACGTTTAGCTTATATCTGTAAATTGGTAGCAGTTGGGCTATTTTTGTGTTTTCTAAGGTGCGATGGTTGTGGCGGCCATCTTGAAATGGTGTGTGATGGCCAAATGCATGGCCATACTCCATTAAAGTCGGTAACGCTCATGCACATTCATTTACTTATTCATTCATTCATTTTATTTTGCAATAGAATGTCATTTGTTAATTTTAAATACATTTGTTCTATTTGTAATCGCGCACATATACAGTAGTTTACTTATGTATTTTTATCAACTCATTGTTTATTTGGTTGTGCTTTTCACTAATTCTTGTTTCTTCTGGTTTTTTTACCTGCTGGGATCTCTGGGAGTTACCAGACAAAACATGGTGGCCAGGGCTTGACACATAACTGCAGGAGGTGGATAATTGGACCGCACCACCAGTTCATGCTGAAGAGGGGGACCTTGTATTTTCTTTGTTTTAACAAGCTTTTGTGTTTAACTGAATATTTACATTTAGAGTTGAAAATGTTTGATTTTCTTCTTTAGAATTTAGTTTTTGTAGCATACTGAACTGTACTGTGTATTTTTGTTGTAGTTAGTGATTGTATTGTGTTATATTAGCCCTCATGTGTTGCAATGGTCTGATCAGCCAGAGTGTATATAAACCCTTGTGTGTCATGTCTCAGGTCAGTTATGTTTTGTTATGCAGTCAGTTTGGTCACATTTTTGCCTGAGTTCATTTTGTTATGTTGGCCTCTTTTATGAGCTCAGTTTTTTGGTTTTTGTAAGTATATTTTTTGGTTAAAATAAAAACGTAAGGTTATGAATATAACCACGGTTCCTTGAAGGAATGGAACGAAGTACAACACACAGTTGTATATGGGACACGCGTGCCCTCGCGCTCCTGGCTGAAGCCACCTCTAATCACGTCTTTAGACCGGTGACGTTGAACGTCTGTTGACAGACTCCGCCTTCACCCTATAAATTCGGAGTCACTAGCGTCATTACTCAGTTAGATACCGCCCTTCGAGCCTTTGTGATGCGGGGCCAACAAGGTGTTGTACTTCATTCCATTCCTTCAAGGAACCGTGGTCATATTCATAACCTTACGTTCCTTTTCAGTCATTTCACTCAGTACAACACACAGTTGTATATGGGACTTGTCAAAGCGCCCCGCAGAGCAGTATCAGACCTGAGTTAAGTAGTGTGCCTGAGTAAGTACTGTACTAATGCAGAGCTTTGGACCCGGCAGAAAGTACAGAATGAGCCACCGAAGGTGCTGTTACATCCAGGCTGTAAAATCGTGCAAATGTGTTTGGTGAGGCCCAGCTGGCCGCGGCACAAATGTCACTCACAGGTACCCCTTTAAAAAGGGCCCAAGATGTCGCTACACCGCTGGTGGAGTGAGCTTTAACTCCAAGAGGGATTGGAAGGTTTTTGCTGCTGTATGCTAGCAAGATGGCCTCTACAATCCAGTGAGAGAGTCTTTGTCTAGAAAGAGCTTTACYTCTGTGTGGGTTAGCAACAGTCACAAACAGCTGATCACATGAACTTACATCCTGTGTGCGGCTGATGTAATGCTGCGTTCACACCGAACGCGATTTCAGCTTCAAAATCGCAGCCAACGCTGAAGTTTGAAGCTTGTGCACTTTGAGGTCAGACGCAGGACAGCTCTTGAAGCGCTGCACGGCGACAGCCGCCCCGCCCCTCCCTCCTCTGTCGGGCTCTGTTTAATGTCGGACGGGGAAGTGGCTTTGCTTTATTTACAGAGAGCAAGAGCATGTCACGTTCATCAGATAATTAATTCATAATTAATTCACCAGATAATTCAGAGTAGAGGCTCACAGCTCGCTTTCAGGACTATTTTTCCAGTCTGATGAGTCGCTGTCACGCATTGGAGCGGATCAGGACACAGGCAGACACTGGATTTCAACTAAAGAGCTCCTCTCCATCTGTTTCAGGTTAGTGGACATCATTCAGTAAACTGTCCCGTCGGGAAATATGTCGCTACGTCACACAGTGGAGTCTCTCTGATTGGTTGACGCTGCGCGTCGAGCTGCAAAAGTTCAGATTTTCTAACTTCAGCGATTTGCGCCTCAGCGCGTCGAACGCTCAGATCGTTCAAATCGCGCTACTCTAATCGCGCTTGAGGTGCCGCAGCACTTCCCGACGTTGCTTGAAGCGCGTCCACCATAGACTTTGCATGTAAACCTGCTGCTCCTGACGCTGAAATCGCGTTCGGTGTGAACGCACCATAAGTGTGTAGAGCACATACGGAGCACAGAAGATGCAGCCTCTTTTGCTCCTCAGATGCAAAAGTGGGGGGGATGAAAGCTGGAAAGCTCTATAGACATAGAGCTGTAACTAGAAGGTATCACCTTAGGAAGATACGCAGAGTTAGGGTGCAAAACCACTTTAGAGTCATTTGCAGAAAACTGGATACAGGATGGGTTCACTGACAGAGCGTGTCAGTGAACACAGTTGTATATGGTCGTGGTCTGGATGACGTCAAGCGCTTGACCAAACAGTCCTGTAGGCGTTTTCGGTTCATCCAAGTAGGCCGCTCTGTCCTTGTCGGGAACGTCTGAGAGCGTTAGCCACAGGTGCTTCTGTGCCTCCACAGTAGAAGCCATTCCTTGTCCCAGAGCCAGAGCTGCACAGCGGGACACACACAGAATGTGGTCTGACGCCAGTCTGATCATGTTCAGCAGGGGTAAAAGGGGGTTTTCCTGCGGCATCTGAGCTGCCAGTTCAGCCAAGGCCATGGCCTGGTAGGTCTGAAGCATGGTGACGGAGCTCAGCGCACGGGCGGTGTTACCTTGGGCTTTGTAGATTTTCTCCGGCTGTGCCGAAGAGAATCTGCAGGGCTTGGAAGGGAGCAGGGTGGGCCCGCTCACACCCTGGTTGTGAGACGAAGCCAAATAAGCGGCTGAAGAAGGCTTCATTGGAGGGGTGCCCACCAGGCCTGCTTGGTCTGCCCCTTCCACGTCCAAGTACTGACTCTGTCCGGGCACGAAGGCGCGGATGGACAGCGGTTTGCTCCAAGACGTCAGCTCCGACACAAAGTCCGGAAACATAGGCAGACGGTGCTTCACATCTGCCGGTTCAGATGGGAGATAAAACCCTGCGAACCTCCATGGCTTTTGAGCAGGTGGGGGGTCGGGCCACTGTACCTCCAGTTTAGCAGCAGCTTGGCGGCACAGGGACAAGAAGGACAAATCCTGGTCCACCCTCTCGGTTTAGATCCAGTAGAAACTGGGTCTCACCCCACCCCGATGTCGGGTGAGGCCGCCTCGTGCTCCATCTGGTCCGCCCAGCTAGCAGCAGGGGCTTCGACTGCCGAATTCTCATCTTCGTTGGACTGAGCCGTCTGGCTGGATTCGGAGAGCAGCGGGTCTTGTCAGAAAACAGCAGTTTCCCCCAGCATTTTCTCCAGGAATTTCACTCTCCTCTCTAGTGTCGGAAACGAAAGTCCGGCACAGGCCCGGCAGGACTCGGGCTCCACAAGTGCCCGTCGAGCGTGAATGATTCCCAGGCAGGCCGGGCAGGCCTCGTGCTGGTCCTTCTCATGAAGCTTAAAGCCGCACCCCTGAGGACAGGGGCGAACAGAAGACTTCGGCTTCTTCTAAGGTGGTTTTGCGCTCATTGTGAACCACAAAACAGATTTTCATCAGAAAATAAAGGTCACTTAAGTAGCGTCGAGCGGCAGACACAAGAACCAGCAGGTAACGCGGTTAGCACCAGTAAAGCTAGCCTAAGAACCTTAGAAGCTGAGCTAACTAGCAGCAGCTATGTGAGCTCAGGTTTAGAGGTGACCATCACGAGGTGAAGGGCGATAGAATTGAGTAATGACGCTGGTGACTCCGAACTTATAGGGTGAAGGCAGAGCCCGTCACCTGACGTTCAACGTCACCACATCACCGGTCTAAAGATGTGATTAGAGGTGGCTTCAGCCAGGCGCGCGCCCCATATACAACTGTGTGTTGTACTGAGTGAAATGACTGAAAAGGATCCCTATTTTTCTAATAATTCCTGAGTCCTCCTGTTTCAACTCGGCCCATCACATGGTGTTTCTTTTGTCACATTGTAAACTGTGGGACTGTTTATGTACAGGAGTGAACTGTTTCAAACTCTTTAATTCAATTTACCACAGAATGACTAATTTAACATTTTATTAAAGCCAATATCTCCCTCATGACTGTTTGTTAAACAGCATTCATTTTTATTCACTCATTTTCACACAAAGTTTAGTCTTAAACTAGTATCCATTAGTGGCAACCCAGTGAGATACAAACTTAACATTGGACTAGAAATAAATGAATAAAGCAGGTGTTTTTACCTGGCTTGTCAGGGACTTTGGTTGGTGACTCTTCGCTCTCCAGCTTGACCTTCTTCAGCTTCACCTCCTCCACCGTCTCATCACACGGTGCTTCTTCAGAGGTCTTCAAAACTTGGTGCTGACGCTTTGTCCCACTTTGACACTGTGGACTGAAAATGACTTGTTTAAGGATTTATTTGACTTGGGGTATGGCTATCTGATTACATGAGAGCTGCAGGATGGGATTTGGGAGAAAAAAAAATTCTCAGTTGATAAATGGCATCGTGTTTTATCATTTGCACAAAAACACACTAATTTCTTCAAGTAGCACATTTCGTTCACCAGGTTTTCTGCCAGAGTTTTCCACCAAGATCATGTAGTCTCCCACTCAGAGTATGTTTTTTTGTGATGCTCAGCTACACATCTGTAAATCTGACTGAGTTACAGACTGGGACGACTGTCTGGAAATAACTTCATCATGGAAGGTGGTGGGTGATATTGCTTCCTTTAAGTAAGAAATAATTTTATTTATCATGACTGTAGCGTCACTAGAGTCCCCTGAGACACCATGACTTTACAACCAACAGATGGTCTTATGAAAATAACTATTATTTTAGGAACTGATCCCAGAAGTTGGTTCAGTCTGACTTGGGCTCAGTCAGCTTAGCTGTGGTAAAATAAAAAACACCCACAAGTCAAATGAATAAACCATTAAACCCTAAAAACTAGTGGTGTACAGATACAGATATCAGTATATTTACAAGTACTTGTACAAAATGCCTCGATATTCTGAACCCATAAAATACTAGTAAAGATACTGAATGTGTTACAGTTTACATTTCAAGAGAAAATTTGGTCAGTTCTTTGTTTTAGAAATTTATACAAGTTGAAACAAAATCTTATTTGTTATTTTTTTTTATTTTAAAATATTTCAACAGTATATATCGTGCTGTATGTCTGATTWGATCCTGTCAGAGGGGCTGTAGCTCTATAAGGAAGGAGGTTTAAGGTCTAACTCAGTACTGGTATTGGGACACCTCTATTAAAAACACTCCAACAGACTGAAGATCACTGTGACAAACATAGTGAAAAGACCATCCTAAAGGTGGGGTCTCAATAAACTGGAACTCTTTAGTGACCTAGAATTAATGAGGGAGTCTCCTGAATGTCTATAGATTGTGGTAGTGAATACTGTAGTAATTTCAAACCTTTTCTCCTCCTGGACTGGAGCGGTCAGCTTCTCAGGTGACATTTCACTGGAGATGTCTTTCGACGGCTTCCTGTTGTCTGATCTGAGGAACTCGGCAGCCTCTGGTGTGGGTTTGGTGTGGTCGATGGGACTGTTGTCCTTCCCTGCTTTCCATAGATTGTAACGTTCGGGCTGAAACTTTCGCACAAACGCATCCATAGAGATCTTCACCACATCCTGACGGCATGAACACTGGGAGGAAAACACGACCAACATTTATAGAGCCTCTAAACATTAATAATAACATTAAACTCTGGCCTTTTTGGTCTACCATTGTTGCCTGTTTTCCATAATCTATCCAACGCTGCGTGGCAAAGTTGGTGGCCTCGGCACAGTTGAAGCCATGGTTGAAACCAGCGTGATAAGCAAATGGGAACGTCACAATGAACTGCCCCACTTCCTGTGTCACCTGGCAGAGACAAATGAAGAGAAACAACAAAAACATCTAATCTCAGCTCTTTCATTATTCCTCACCAACAAAGATGACAGAGTAACGATTTTCCTGCCAGTGTGTTTGTGTGTACCATTAGCAAAATATCTCACAAATCACTGGGTGGAGTTTACTGAAATGTTCATAAAGTAATCATTAGGTGTACATTTACATGATGTCAACACTATTTAAAGGGATCCCTGATTAGTTGTAACATTAGACTTTATTTGATAAACATGTATTTTAACTGTAAAATAAGGACTGTAAAAATACTGTAGGATGTTTAGTTTTGTAAATTTTTAAAAATATATTTACACACAAAGCATTCTGGGTAAATGATGATGTGGATAGGTCCTCGGTGTGAGTGAGCTATATCCACCCTGAAGGTTAATCTTGGACAATATCTGA